ATGATATATAGAATAAAAAATGATTTTTAATTGTATTTATTTAATATTTTTATAATTATAATAAATTTTTCCTAGCTCTCTCACAATCTGGTCCAATTAAAATTCAGCCAATAAAATAAGTTTATAAATGTAAAACAATAATTATCTCGTTGAATTGTTAAAATTAATATTAAAAACAAATGTCAAAACATCAAAAAAAAATTTTTTTAAAAATAAAAATAAAGTCATAAGATTTTATTGGCGTAATATTCGTGATTATATCATTAGTTGTAACTTTAAATTTTTTTCTGGCTTTAAATTGTAATGGAGAATGAACGATTTCTAATGGAGAAAATAAAAAGAAAATAAGATTTAATTTAATTAATCAAAGTGCGAATGCGAGGATTACATAATAATAATGTATTAATGCTTTTCGTGCCTTCATTTTTTTAATATTTATAGTTCGCAAGGTTTTACTTTTTCCAAAAAAAAAAATTTTAATGCGGGGGTACTTAAAAATTTTTATTTATTTATTTATTTATTTATTATTAAATAGACAAACAAACAAGTAAATATTTTTCTTAAATATTTATTTAGGTGATAAAATCAGTAAATCTACCAGATTTAACACCTTTACCTATTCCACGCGGCTTAGTCGGACAAAAACTTAATAGTCTTATTCAACAAGCTGTACAGATTTTTTCTGATCATAAAAAATTCCATCCAAATAACTCAAGTGTTATAATAAATTCAATTAATAATCATAACACAAATATAAACAATAACATCAGCAATAATAATAACAAAGTTATTAATTCAAATATTATGGCAAATACAAATTCATCATCGTCGTCATCATCACAACAATATAAATTAAGCCCAAACAATGGTAATAATAATAATAACAACCTTATGAGCACAATTTTATCTAATCAACAACTTCAACAATTATATCATAAACAACAACAGCAACAGCAACAGCATCAATTACAATTACAACACCAATTGAAACAACATATACAACAGCAGCAGCAACAACAACAACAGCAACTTTTACTACATCAACAACACCAATTGATTCAACAAACTCCAAATCATCTTCAAAATTCTCTATTGTCAAATTTAGCTATGGCACAACAATTCCAACAAAATCAATCCGCACAGCAACAACAGAATATGACAGATTATAATGCTGCTATAATGGCAGTTGCAGCAGCAACGAAT